GAAACCTTTCAAGTTTTCTGGGAATATCCTTCGATTGATATTGTCTCGATGCACGTAGCTGCACTTTACTTGTGTAAAAATTTCTCTTTGGGAGTTTTTGAAACAGACTACTGATTTGGGGTTTGATAGGTTTAGAACGTATTTATTACGTACTTAAATGATTTAATTAGTTATTTGGGCTTTAGTCAAATTAGCTAATTTTTGAAAGTATTTGACCTAATTTTCCCTAATCCAAATTCCATTAAGGCCCATTCTTATCCAATTGTTTGGTAGAACATGGTTTTTCTTTTCCTTTGGACTTCTACCCATACAAATACTCAAGTACATAGTAGGCTATATAAACACATCACATGGGATAGAATATATACAATGAAAAATAACAGGGCACATTAGAAATGATATACACGTGTACCATTGAATATAGCAATCGAGAAAGATAAGAAAAGTTTTAGAGCGTGCAATACCTTTAAAAAAAAAAAAAATCATTTAATCTATCAAGGTAAGATACTTATGTGTAAGTTGTTTATTTTCGTATACCTTTATGTATTCATTTATTATGCATGAATTGCAGTGGACCTTTGGGTTCTTTTTAAAGAGATATAAAATCCTTCGAGAATTTAATATAACCTAAGATGGGTGTGTCGCTTGACCACCGATATATTCCATAAGAGAAGAGTTGTATGAAATGTTTAAATTGATTGTTATATAATTATATGTGAAAACTGCATATATCTTATTATTATTTTTAAATACTCACTCTTACAATAAATTTACAGGTTAGCAGAGTCAATTGGATTTATTGCAGGATTGTGATGCAGGCTGCCAATGGGATCGAAGAAAAAAGTAAACGTTAAGTTTTTTAGTCCTTTAATTTATTAACTAGTATAATTTCCATGTTTAGTTTAAATTTATGGATATTCCAATTATTTTATTTTAAAAGAATTCATTTTTTTATTGTTCCACATTTAAAGTAAAAAAAAATAAGTTTTTTTTTTTAACACTCCAGTGTATATGGAATTTTGGGATGTTACATCTTCATCGTTAACTCTTTTGCTCCTCTTACCAAAAAAAAAAAATCAACATAGAAAGAAAAAGGAAGAAAAATACAGAACTCCACATATTTTCTGACTATATTATTTCATACCTGCATCTTTGTTATTCTCCATTTGATATGCCAACATACTTTCAACAACATCTACAAGATTCCCCATACAAACTTTATAATTATTCATAATATTCTCAACCACATTGCAATTCTAACATCTTATTCAAAATATTCTCAACCACATTGCTATTCTAACATCATAGTATATATCCGTAGACAGAATAAGCTTGGTATTCCTAGTTGCTGATCACGGATTAATTGGATATATAACCACCTTTCCGGTGGCTCGGTTTGTTTCTAGATAAGCAAAAGCTTCATTAACCTTGTCGAAAGGGAATAACCCCTTAGGGTCGAGCACCGGCTTCACCTTCCCACTCTCCAGAAATGGATTTAGCTTCTTCAGCATTTCTCCATTTGAAGTAAGTAAAAATGAAAAACCAGGTGGTGTTGCTGCACCAGCTATGTATACTACACAGCCATCTTCCTTCACTACTTTCACTGCCCTATCTCCCTGCCCTGTAGTTTTTCAAAGAAAAATGACACCATCATTAGTCATCCAATATGTGAACTCTTCGCGAGCAACCCCAATTCCAATAAAAAAAAAAACTAAGCATTATTCTTGACAAATATTGAGGTACGTTATATGAATCATTTTTCATGACTCTATTACTGGCAAAACTTCAGTGGGACGGTCTTATAAGTACACGTGGTAGGACCGTCCATTCAAATCACGACACCGCAGCATTTGCATCGACTTTGTTTCTATCTTACCATCTTGTATGCAGAGATGTCGCAATTTGAGTGACTCGAGGTCCGATGTTACGTGATTTGAATGGACGGTCCTATTACATGTGCATATAAGACCGTCCTACCAAAGCTTTTCTCTACCACATTCTTACTGACCCATAATATATACCGCATTCCTTTTTCAACAGAAGAAAAGAATCGAAGGTTTTTATATAAGCTTCCCCAAATAACCCATTCACACAAGAAAGCAACAATCTTGACATTGCCACAGTAATAGACAGGCATATTTACCACAGACGTCATCATGTCAAGTAAGGACCTTAGGTACTTCAGATACCTGAGAACACCGTACAACATGCAAACCTTCCACAACGATTCATTTTTAGGACAGAGATGTACTAATTTTATTTTATTAATCTCCACTTTCTCCTAACATATCCACTTAGATGTAAAAAGTCTCTTTTAAGTTTCGGTGCAAAATGAGTTATTATCCAATAGCTCCGGGTATGGTAACAAGGATCATCCACTGAATTAGGAGGAGAAATGTTTAGTCCCATAATGTCAACACTAAATGAAGCTAACAGTATTAA